ACACCAGGACTCCTTCAATCTTTTGGTTAGCAGCTGATCGAGTTAACCATTCGCCACCCAGAGACTCCAAACTCTAGTATGAATTAGTATACTGTAGCTCCCAATCTTAACATATCTAAATGACTTCATTAAGACAGACTTGGCATAATCACCTTGATTTTGAAAAGAGACTTCCAGAAAGGACCATCTCGTGAAAATTTCTAGTGGTACTTGGGCTGACACATCTCTGTGGCTGTTCAAGAACCACAACACCTGGGTCAGCACAGAAACATGACCAACTCCCTCCTGAGAGCAGCCCACAGGTACCTTCACTTCCTCCTCCAAACTTGTGGGATTTTGTCACCCACCTGTCTCCATGCACTCAGGAAAGGAGGAGACAGACCTACGGCATCCATGTTGAACAGTGGCCAAGCCTAGATCAGTTCCAAAGGCCTAAATGAGAATTTACATTTTGACTACATGCTAGAGGATTTTTCATTTGCTTGGGTGAGAATTGTATTTCCTGGAGATTGGTGGGAAATCCTGATCAATGCATTCTTAGTTGTTCTTGTAAATTATTTTGTTGGAAGTGCATACAGCCAAAGACATACCATTTCCACAATTTCTACCACCACAATCCATTGACACTGATTACGTTCTCTGCACTGTGCCGCTTTCTCAGTAGCTGTTGTTGTTGCTGTTATGTGCTGTAGAGTTGTTTCTGACCCATATTCTCACTAGCTGGTATATCCACATATCGCACCGCCCTCACTGAACCATATGCCCCCATCGTCATTTTGATCTCACGTAGAAAATTCTCAGAGGCGACAACTGTGCTAATGAAAATATGTTATTTTTTGGTTCAAAGACTTCAAGGGACAGTTTTATTTTAAGATTTAAAGTGTAAAATAAAAAGTATCTCAGGGCAACAATTTGGGGGAGGGAAGCTCATACAGCCTCCATGGTTCCAGAAAGTGTGGCTGTTTGAATTCTGTTCCACACCTTCTCCATTTTTTTTTTTTGCTTTTGCTTTTTAAAGAAGTTCCTTGATATTTTTTTAAAATTTATTTTGTTGTTGTTGAGAACATACGCAGAAAAACACACACCTGTTCAATAATGTCCACATGAAAAGTTCAGCAGCATTGAATACATTCATCAAGTTGTACAGTCTTGACTTTCTTCCTGCTCTCAGGAGAAAGGATCTTCGAGCACAGACCAGGGAAGTAGTTTGTGATAGATGAACCCTCTCCTTATCCCTTGAGAGAAAGGCTGTGCTGTTTGGTCTTTATGCACTGCACTATGACCAGATCTGTCCCCACCTTGTATGTACAAGGTTCCTTGTCCCCTACCAACACCAACTGGTCCCTATGCGGCATAAAAACATTGACGTCAACACTCGTGGTGAAGGAATTTACTGAAGCCCAAAGAGAAAAGAGGCCAAAAAGAAAAACTCAATCCAGCAAGACCCAAACAATTTCTTTTTATTTTATGGGCTCTCAGTAGCTGTTAAGCTTTGCTGGATTTTGATAGCAAGGAAGTTTCTAAAAATAGAACTATGCAGTGTCAGAGTTAATGAGATCAAAGCAATAAAAGATTTCTACTACCAAGAACATCTGACTTTATTAACCTTCCAGGAAAGTTGCTTCATGCCTACCGACAGTGTGCTCCTTTGATGGTCCCTTTCCTTCTTGGTTATTCTCCCAACTTATTTATTCTGAAAATCAGCTACATTGGGGGTAAGCACATTTCATCTAGAGGTGTCTTCAAGGAACAGTTATTTATCTAGGCCAGGGTAAACCAAACATTGAATCAAAAGGCTAGTGCCTAGTGCCATGCCAGCAAATGAAGAAAGGGGCAGGGTAGGGTGTCTGTTTTGCATCCCTGCTGTGACCACTGCCTCAACCCTAACTCCTACAATGACCGTGTTCAGTCTACTCCTCCAGACTCTTCTCTGTCATCCATCCTGCATGGAAGACTCATGACTGCCAGCCCCCATCATCTCTAAACTCACAAACAGCAGAACAAAGAAGGTTGCAGCAGCTACTTGGGGTTTTTCAGAAGGTGCTTATTCTCCACACATGAGAATTGATAGAAATCCTGTATATAAAAACAGACACAAAAGCAAAAAGCACCAACCTCATTTAATTACTCATAAATGGTTCCTCTGCTTCTCACATAAGGGTGTCTTTCATTCAGAATCACAATGACTCCCTGAAGGAAAGGCAGTATTATAGAAGCCCTGTTTACAAAGAATTCAATCCTTAGTTTGTTTGCTGCCCAATTTTGAGGGACTTGTTGTTCTTTCATAAACATAGATAAGAGTCATGTGACCTCAGATCTGATCCAGGATTGGATCTTTTCCTTTTGACATCCTCAGCCTCTCTGTCTCCATTATCCTCCACCTGCATGGTTACTGCTTTTATTTCTGATGCAAAATTATGCTAAACAGTGGAGGAGGGCATAGGACACTTTTATGTGTGTGTCCTTGCCTATCATACAAAGCAGTGTGGTTGTGGCCACCTAGACAAGGGGACACCTAGAATCACCTGGGGTACTGGGTGCAAATGTAGATGCCCCTCAATCAGAATTTACAGGTGTGCATTCCTATATTGGTAAACTCTGACTTTAGCAAGCATACCCTGTAAATTGTTGAACACAGAGTTGTTTGAGAACCACAGCCCAGAGATGCCACCCACCAGGTCTGTCCATCATTGTTCCCTCAGAGAAGGCTGAGAGGTTCCTCTTCTTAACAATATCTGAAGTGGTTCTTTAACCTTGGGAAGCTTATGAAAATGATAGAATACTTGCAGGAAACTGAGCCCACACAATTAAATGGACTTTATTTAGCATCAACACATGATGTAATAACTTCAGAGTAGATCTCAATGCGGTTAGGTTAGTGCTAACTGTCAAATCCTACTCATCAAGGTGGGAAAGTGAACTTCCGTAGCTGGCGTGATTGCGGCAAGTTCTGGCCCAGGTGTCCTGCCTCTGTCACTATCCTTGCCTGCATCCCCAAACCCCTCCACATCAACTCCGTTATATCAGAGATTTCATACCCATGGGCAGTTTGCTGCTCCCAACCTTGATTGCCTATGTTCTACACAGCAGAATGTCCAGGGAGGTCAAGGAAAGACTTCTGTGAATCTTAGCATGAAGAGGCTACTTTTAGCTAGGTGTGGCTGATTGTCAATATTGAACCCTTTCAAGACTGAATTATTTTCTGCTTTGAATTTGTCGTTGCCAAGTGTGTTTTCAGTAATGGAAGACTTTTTTAATGAAATGAAATTTTTTGAAGTAAGGTGGCTTTGGATGCAAATGTTGTTGCTGTCATGAAGTGCCATTGAGTTGGTTCTGACCCACAGTGACTCTGTATAGGGCTTCTGAGGAGTAACTGGTGAGTTTGAATCACTAACCTTTAGGTTCAAACGGACTTTGCTATCCAACACATTAACCCACAGCACCACACCAGGACTCCAATTAGTGAAACACATATGTTCTGAGAGTCATTGGTGCCAAGTAGGATGGATGAGGCCCACTTCTTCATATTAATGCAAATATGCAGGCTCCCACGAGATGGCAGCATGACCAAGAGTAGATAGCAGTTTCCCACTAAACCATCCTGTTGTTGTTTAGTCAAATAGATTCTGACTCTTAGAAACCCCGTAATAGGATTTCTGAGGGTAGCTTGTGGGTTTGAACTGAAGATTGTGTGGTTAACACTCCAGTGCTTATCCTACATCACCACATCAGGACTTCCTAGAGACAGAAAATGTAAGTGGGCATTATCTGTCCCATGAGTCAGGAAAGGGTTAGCTCTTTCGAAACATCACTTAGGAAGTATTGATGCTTACTGCATTATTAGTGGTTCCCATTCTCAAATATCAGCACCTAGAATTTAAACCTGTACTTTGCAAGATTGTGCTGGTTTCATCATCAGTTGTTTACCAAGATGTACACAATAGCTGTTATTAGGGGATTGGCTTCTTATTTATTTTGTTTCACTCCTCTAAAGTGGCTAGTCTGAGAAATCTGGATTTGATCTATTAAAGCCTGAAGAGGAGGCTATCGGAGATGTGTTGTTTGTAGGAGATTTTTCTGCTGATTCATCAAAGGTAAAGTTGAAGATGTTTCTTCCTGTGATCCCACCACCCAGGGGTCACCTACTGTCTTTTATACCCAGCTCAACTGTCACCTCCTCTGGGAAGCCTTTTGGAATGACTTGTACTCTGTAATTTGGTGCCATAGTCATTGACATATAATGCCATCCTAGTGCTCACCATCCTATATTATAATTATTTCTGTGTCCATATGTCTTCACAGAACTCTGTTCTTGTGAAAAGCACATCTGTGTTTATTATACTTTGTAGCCCTTACAACTAGCAATGGACCAAACTACAGGATGCTTCATAAATGCCTACTGAAGTGAAACAAAAACGGACAAGAAGCCAATCCACTAATAACAGGTCGACTGTAAAATTGGTCAGTCAAGAACAATAGGGACTGTGACAATCGTCAAACACAGTGATGCAATAACCACTGAAAATCAGGACAAGCAATGAGCCTGCCTGCCTTCTTCTGTCCTGTGACAGTTCTTGTTACAAGGATTGTACAGCTGGAGGGAAACTTACAGATGATCTTATCCAAAAGATAAGCAAGTGAAATGATCAGTGCGAGGTTATTCAGATAATAGCAGCAGTTCTGGGAACATAGAGCAGAGACTAAGAAGTGCCAGGTCCATTAACCCTCTCCGTGGAGTATCTGCAATTTACAGTTGAGGATGCTAAGGAGGGATTGTTCAGAGTTGCACAGTTGGTAAGTGGTGGAGCTGGTATATAGTGACAGACTGATCTACTTCCAGTTTCCAGTACCCTGTGCCATTCCTGGACAAGACCCCAGGTTTGCTGAGACACTAAATATATATATATGTATCCTTCTCACTTCTGTACGCAAACCTTGCCAAATAACGTCTTTTTTTGAAATGCTGTCTGGTTTTCACCTCCACTTCCCTTGCTTTGCAGGAGAGAAGTATGAGCTCCACGCAGGGACTGAGTCCACGCCAAGTGTTGTCGTGCACGTATGTGACAGCGACATAGAGGAAGAAGAGGATCCAAAGACTTCCCCAAAGCCAAAAATCATCCAGACCCGGCGTCCCGGCCTGCCGCCACCGTCTGTATCCAACTGAGCTCACAGCTCCACCTGAACCATCATAACCGTCTCCTCTTTATCATGCTTTACCCCCTATTGTTTGTTTGTGGGGAAAAAAAAAATGCCTTTAAATCCCTGGGTGTTTGGTTGTTTGAGATTCCTTCCTTGTAAACAAGCCTCTTGGACAAAAGGGCTAGGAAAAGGTGACATGTCTCCTGATTTTACCATACTCCACCAAGCATAATCCATTATTTAGAAGGTTCTAGGGGAAAAAAAAAAAAAAAAAGTAGTATTTTCTTATAAAACCATCAGTACAGCCTATATCTTCTTTCTCCCGTGTCCATCTAAGCCAGAGACATCAGTAACAAATAGCACCTGTGTTGTTTGTGAGCCGTTTCAGTCCCTGTCCTGAGGTGTGTGCAATGTTTTTTTTGTTTTTTTCCTGGCCACTTAAATAGGACCATATGTAAACTTGACAATGACTGCATGAGATTCCCCTATCTGGTCTCACTCAGTCCTCTGCACCCTGACATTCCCAGGACATGCATGATTACCAGCATTTATTTTCATGGTTTGAGAAGACACTGGAACTCACAGATTGTCAGCATCCAGCCATGTCCTCACTAGATTAGGAAAATGATCAGCATCATCCAGCTCAACAAGTCTGGGTGTATTTACTATTTTGCGTCAATACGTCATAGTCTATTAAAATTCTTGGAAGCAAAACTGAGCTTGGCCCCAAAGATATTCCTCCTTAGATTTTGAACATGATTTCCTTATAGAAATTGCCCAGCCTCAATAAGGAGGCTTGTCCAGGGTGGTACAGACCGATTCCAGACGTACCTATTTACTACAAACATTTTACGGTGTCTGAACCATTGTTTTTTCTCTTTGTATATTTGTACAAATGTTTCAGCTGTGCTTTTAAAATCTGGATTTTTTTAAGTTAGTAATTGTTCAGCCATTGCTTAAGAACACAATATGTGCATTGCTCATTAATGCATTCGTATACCAATACAGATAATCTGATAATATTACACCCTATCATAGATTAAGGAGCTCTGGTAGCATAGTGGTTATGAATTGGGCTGCGAACCTTAAGGTCAGTAGTTTGAAACTACCAGCCGCTCCTCAGGAGAAAGATGAGACTTTGCGCCCGTAAAGATTTGCAACCGTGGAAACCCTGTACAAGGTCTCTATGGGTCAGAACCGACTCCATGGCACTTAACAACAACATAGATTAACGCTGAATTTTGAAAGGGCACCAAATGTCTCACACCAATATATAAATGATTATTGCTATCAAGAGCCCTTGGTTTTTAAATAAAGAGAAAATGCAAGTGTCAGTGGTAGATAATTTGGATGAAGCCAAATCTCCAGAATGCAGTTGAGCATATAAAAATGGCAAATACGTGGATGTTGGTCCTTCTCTTGCAAATGCCCACATGCTCAAAAGAGATATTTGTTTTTGTTCCATGTGATTTTTCTATGTCTCTAGCCCAAAGTGCATTACAGAAGATACACCTTTAAGCACCATTACCTTCTGCTATATGTGCCCGGCCTCATCTATTCTTGTACATAAATGAATCAACTTAGATGTAAATGCAAACTGTGGTGAAGTGAGAAATACTTTCATTATCCAACCCTCAGAAAAAAAACAGAACAATAACACAGCTAACTGCTTGAAAGATTGTTGTGGATTTTTGACTAGGGTGTATGTGAGTTTCATCAGAAACTTAAACCATAGACAGATCACATAGAAATTAAAGTCCGTTCTACTGTGAATATAGCAATATCGTACTGGGCACAGTCCAGGTGAAACTGAGGAGAGCTTTGCTAATGAAATCTTGAGTTTCCATATGAAAAATAAAGGCACCTTTTAAAAAATAAAATCTGAGAAGTGTATAGTAAGTCAGTGCTTTGACGTTTCCTTTGCTGTGGAAGTTTTTTGTTGTTTTTTTCTTGACCAATGAGAGACTGAAGACTCAGTAGTGGAGATTTGATGCCCTCTGGTGGTAGAAACGTGATCGATCCTCCGTTAGTCAGATGAACAGAGAATTTTGACAACTGTCATCCATATTGCTTTGAATTTCTTCTGTCATTTGACTTTATCAGCAACCCAGAATTTTCAGAATGCAGTTTCTAAAGATGGCTGGATGAGAGAAAGTGTTTGTAAATTATTTAAAAAGTATTTTTTTAACACACATTAGACATTGGCAACCAAATGTAGTATAAAAGTTGAAATGCCCACTGTGTACAGTCGTAAAATGAAGTCAAGGAAATGCATAATCTATCTATGTGATTAGTCTTAGTGACATTTCTGCAAAGTGACAATGTTAACCTGTCTCAGATCAAGACGTTCTTGGGCTTAGGGAAGGTAAAAAGGGACGCTTTTGCCAGGAGAGAGGTAAGAAATTAGAAAGAGTCTTGGAAATGTTTGCAGTGGTAACTCTTAGCACTGTGAAAGAATTGTCTCAGCATTTCCATGACGCACATTATGCAAACCTCGTTAGCACTATTTTAAGTTTGAAATGTTTAAAAATGGAGGGGGAGGAGGAGATTCCCACCAATTGAATCATTTTGTGCACGTGTATAGCTCAAAGAGCTTAGACTTCAAATATACCTGGTGAATGACTCTTTGTCCTTGTGGTGTAATTTCTGTGTTGTCTTCCTGAATTCAGTATTTTTGAGGGGCCATTGTGGGGAGTGCAATTCAGCCTAACATCTTTCTCAGAGATTGCCAACATACGGGATTAACCCATCTGGGCTCTTCCTGAAATGAGCATTGTGAGAAGATATTTGGCAGTCATCTCATGAGGAAAAAGAAATTTCACAAGGTCTGGAGGGACAGGTTGGACTTGAATAAGGGGAGTTGGGAGACCTCTCTGTTTTCTAGCCACTCTGAAAGGATCCTAAAAGCCATTCAACTCCACTAAGACCCTCTTTTGACATCTCTCAACTCTAATCTTGAGTTAAAAACACCGTAGGAGACCTGAGGTCTGCAAACGTTTGTTAAATAGAACACAAAAGCACTGCCTTGAAATAATGGATTGAGAAATTGGATTGGGTCAGAACAAAGAACGTCTAGTCATCAAATGACACCATGAGACTAGTGATGAGGCAAGCCTGGGCCGTAAGAAGATAGCTGCAGTGTACGTAGTTTTGGAAACATAGTGGATTCCGAGTTAGGCTGCTAACAACAAAGTCAGCAGTTTGAATCTCCATGGGAGAAATATGAGGCTATAAAAATTTATAGCCTTGGAAAGCCTAGATAGCAGGGGTGGGGAACCTTTTATTCTGCCAAAATTTATAACATCATTTACGGGCTATATAAAATTATCAACTTAAAAATTAGCCTGCTATATTTGGCCAAGGAGGCCTGGTGTGGTGCTATCAGATAGGCACTGGTTTGCAAGGTCAGATTGAACTGCAAGGTCAGCAGTTCAAATCTACCAGCTCCTCAGAATCCCTATGCAGGGTAACTATTAGTCAGAACCAACATGCGGCACTAACAACAACAACAACGTGATGGCTGGAACTGTGGTTGCCTTGGCTGGGCCAGACCAAATGATTTCATGGGTGTGGTCCTGCAGGATAATATGCTGGACTGCAAGGTCAAAATGCACCATAAAGTTGGCAGTTCAAGCTCACCAGGTGATCCTCAGAAACCTTATACAGGGTTGATAATGAGTCACAACCGACTCAACAGCATTTAGCAATCAACAAATCAACCCACCCCTGCTATACAGAGTCATTATGAGTCACAACAGACTCTAAGGCACTTAACAACAACACAGCTGCCACCAAGGAGTCCTGGTAGCGAAGTGGATTACGAGCTGGACTACTAGTCACAAGGTCAGCAGTTTGAAACTACCAGCCGTTCCTCAGGAGAAAAATGAGGCTTTCTGCTCCCATAAAGATTTACAACCTCAGAAAGCCTATGCAGGGTAGCTATGAATCAGAACTGATTCCGTGGTACACAACCACCACCACCACTACTACCACCACCGTAGTTAACACCAACAAGTTGCCATTGAGTCAACTCCAACTCATGGTGACCCCATCCGTGTCCAAGTACAACTGTGTTCTCTGGGATTTTCAGTGACAAACTTTGTATAAGTAGACCACAGCGCCTTTCTCCCAAGGTGCCTCTAAGTGGACTCTAACTGCCAACCCTGCAGCTAGCAGCCATGTGTCTTCGCCATTTCTCCACTCACGGACTCCACATAGCTGTCAAGTGACTCGTCCAAATGTAAAAGTAACACCTACAAACCAATTTTAGAAAGGCAGACAGTCCATTTTTTTAAAAAAATAAACAAAATAGCTAAACATGCACTTAAAACGCAGAGGTCACTAACACATGCATATATATGAATACATCCAAATGGCCATGAAAATTTACAAATGCTCAACATCATTTGAAATTCCAGAAAGGCAAAACCTCAAAGAGATATACCACACACACATCGAAGACTAAAATTCAGTCTGTTGTCGGGGAATGTTTAGTGCTGGTGAAATGGAGCAAATAGAACTCTCAGCCAACCACTTCAGAACACTGGTTAACAGTATCTCCTAAAGCTAAATGCATTCAGGAGCAATTCCACTCGAGGGCATACAACAGATAAATGCCCACATCTACCAAGATACTTAAGGAGCTCTGGTAGAGTAGTGGTTACCAATTGGGCTACGAACCGCAAGGTCAGCAGTTCGAAACTACCAACTGTTCCACAGGAGAAAAATGAGGCTTTCTGCTCCCGTAAAGATTTACAGTCTCAGAAACCCTGTACAGGGTCGCTATGGACTCCACGGCACATCACATCAACAACAACCAAGGTACTTGTACAACAATGTCCTAATGTCCCTAGTTTGTTACTTATAATAGCCAAGTGTCTGCCAATTGTAGAATGGGTAGATAAACTATATTTACTCAAAGGACATTGCAAAGTAATAAAATAGACAGATTCTGAATATGTATTACAACATGAATGGATCTCCAAGGATCTCAAAACCAAACTTCAGAGCCAAAAAAGCTACACA